GGTCCAATGTTGCCCCCAGTGTCTTTCAAAATATCTTCTTTTGTATTCCTCAGAAGAAAGTAAGTCATACAGGTTTGGAGCAGCAATGTAAATGCTGAACTATAACTTTTTGTTAAAATAGTATGAAAAACACTTGTTCTGCTTGCTACCTTTTAATAGTTTTTGCACTCCTTTGGCACCTTGCATAAAAAAATAAAAAAAAGACAAATGGGGCATCCAACATGATGTTATGAAAATGGTACCATGCGAGACATGAGATTTATTATGCATGAAAGACAAGAAAATATGAATAAAAACCTGCTGAAACAGTAGGAAAAGAAGGGGAAAAGCAAGACAGAACCACTGAAATGAGAAAATTGAACAATCACGCACAAATCCCTCCTAGAAATCACAAGGTTTGAAAATGGCAAGGGTGACAGTCAGCCATTCTCTTCTGGGCCACTTTAAAACAAAAACTCAATCTAAATTGGAACCAAGGCTTTTTTTCAGAAGCACTTATCGGATCCCTGAACTCTGTCATTACAGCGCCCGGAGCCACGCTCCCGTCCACCCAGATGTCCAGCACTTCATTTTCCAGAGATTGAAGGTTGTGTCCAGGGTTCAGCAAAGTTTACAATTATAGTTTATATGATTACACACATCTGCTAGAAAAGCCAACTTCATTGAGACTTTCCAGGAATGACTGAGTGAAAAATAGAAGCTCTGGTGCTGGAAGGAAAGTGACGTATCCAGTGTCTGATCTTCCTTGCATGGAATACTTTTGTTTTTCTTAAATGGTTATAGGTTAGAGTTGATTTTGCTGGTTTTGCAATTTAGTGCATGCCGTTTTAATGCATTGAAGCAAATTGACATCACGTGTTCTAAGTAACAGAGTAATGATTAATATTAACTTTAGTAGTAGATATTGCATTCCTTTTGAAATTCAGTTATTACATTTTATTTAAATAACTTGTCATTACAAATCCGTATGAATAATGTTAGGCTATGTAAATATACTCTTATTCAGACCAATCTAAACTAAATGTATGGCTGCCGTTAAACATATTTAATTAAAGTCAAATCAGACTTTGCCCTATTTATATTGCTGAAAGGTCAAAAAATTCCATTCGGCTTTTTCCATAGAAAATCATCCACTTTCATGGAGCATTGCAAATGTCATAATCAGATAAGTCTTCATACGCTTTTAAAATGCTTTGCATATTTTAGATTATTTTGACATTTTAGAATTTGAATTAAACATTTGGGATCAGGAAGATTAATTTTTTAAAGAAATTAATGCGAGTTAAATTTATTAAAAGTGACAGTAAAGACAATACAATTTTAAATTTTAATTATATTTGAGAATATTATTGTTTTTACTGTATTTTTTATCAAATAAATGCAGCCTTGGTCCATATACAATACTTCAAAAACATAACATACGATCAAAAACATAAAGTCTTACCAAACCCTAACTTTTGAATTGAAGTGTGTGTGTA